GCCAAATTTATCATGCTCTAATATTGCAGAATTAGGCTTATTATGTTATTTACTTTAAAATTTGTCACCTAAGGTGTTTTCTTTACATAATTTCTCTTTAAATAATTTTCAAATATAAATTCAAATAAATTAAATAATAAACTCTTCCTTTAAATTATCCTAGATTTATGCAACCTATATTTCATGACTGCATGATTTCATGTCAACGTTGCTTTTGTACAATTGTATTAATTGTTTCCATACAAATAGTTTAATACAACTTTATTATCATAAATTGATTCATAGAATCTTATTAAATTCAGTTCTAGATGTGATGAACCTTGGACTGTTGGAAGTTTGATCATCCTTCCCCTGTGGCTGGCTAACCAGTCACAACGTAGACTATTAACATATGATTTTTTGGATTAACTTCTCTTGTTTGTTCTTTATTTCATCTCGACCGATTACTGGAGAGAAAAAAGGAGTTCTTAACCACCTTTTCCTTTCAGTTTTTTGGTTTTTACAGACAGTTTGTCCAACAAATTTTGTCATATTTTTTAAATAAACCGCTCTATTGTACTGGAGTTGGTAGCAATACGCCTTAATAATCTGTCACTAGTTGACCTCTTGGCATCTGTCTTTTCACGTTGTTGACGTTTAACACCTGTTGCCTTCATTTCACCGGCAGCACTCGACAAGCTCTTAGTGGTAACTTCATTATTACTTTTGAATTACTAAAATTTTTAATTAAACATTAGAATAATGCCACCTAAAGTTAAAATGAAATCATAATTATTTAATTACTGTTGGAAGTGCATTCTTGGGCCGTTTAGTTCTTTTCTACACTAATTTTGTTTTTTATACATGATAAAGTAGGTAAAACTATATTTTTTTAACATACATGTACAACTACCACATGTTTTTTTTTGCTGTGCTAATTTTATGAAAATTGTCAACTATATAACATAATTATACAATGTCCATTGTCGTAAGCTTCTTTACAATAATTGTGAATATCTTTGACTGCTACATAATTTTTTGAGGTAACATACTTAATAGCTTTTCATTGGATGTTAAGTTTTTCATATTGTTCTTTTTAGATGAACTGATAATGCTATCAAATTGGATAGCGAAACGTTTTCAATAATTGAAGTAGCCATCACCTTTGTCTTTTTTCTCCAATTATTGACCGAAAAACCCGCCACTCTTCGAGTGATCCTTATTATATATATATATATATATATATATATATATATATATATATATATATATATATATATAATATATATATATATATGTATATATATATATATATATATATATATATATATAAATATATATATATATATATAAATATATATATATATAATATATATAAAATATATAATATATATATATATATATATATATATATATATATATATATATATATATAAATTGTTATGATGTGTTGTTTCTGTATGAGCTATGAGTAAATTTGAATGATATATGTAAGTATAGGGTTTTTATGGCGGTTCTCAAAGAATTAGTTTGTAAGTACTTTTTTAAATTATCTTTATTATAACTATTATGAAACAAACCTTTCTAGCTAATATAAGCAATATCAATTTAAAACAATCTATCTAAAATTTGAAATTCTTGCAGTTATTAAATTATTAACAAAATTTGGTACCTTTGTTTCACTGAACGCCTAAAGTTTTTCCAAAATTAAAGTTATTATCAACACTCGATATTTTCTTACTCAGCCTTGGTTATCCAACAATTTTAATATGTTTCTTCTTAATTATCTCCACTCACCATATAAATATATAAATTTAAATCCTTGTAATTTCCATATAATGTACTTTTAAATATACTGGATCTTGTGGTTGTATTATTGAATGCTTACTTTAATGAATTAACTTTATACTGTCACCATATTACTGTAGTAATAATTAATCTCAACTGTATTAGACTTAATAATTCATTTAACTTAATCAATGCCTTCTTCTAGCTAATAATTTCTTCATAACCTCATAAATTGCTGTTAATAATCACATGTAAGTGACTTAATAATCCTTGAATTCTTATAACTTGCTTCTCAATAATAATCTTGTAACTGATTTAATTTCTTCTAACTAACTTACTTACCTCAACTAATAATCTTCTTGTAACTAAATTCTTGAATTATAACTTTACTGACTCACTTTAATAACTGATTAATCAACTGTAACTAATCATATACTCTAACTGACTAACTTCTAACTGATAACTGAACTAACTGACTAACTTCTAACTGATAACTGAACTAACTGACTGCTCCCGCTCCAAATTACATGGTTTATATAGCTTTCCTTGGTTCCAGAATAATCTAGCAATAAATAATGTTCGAATCATTCTATTTTTTCTATCTGAACATTCTGGAATAAATGGAATGGTTTTTGTCTATGATGTATTATGCAGATAGTCCTATCGACATTTCTAGAATCTTCCCTGGTCTACATGTACAATTTACTTGACGTTAGGCTCAGCAGATCAGAATTACACTATTATATGTAACTTAACCATTTATATGAAATATATTTTTACTATTTTACATATGTAATTTTATTTTAAATTAAAACTCCCAATAATAAATAACTTTTGACTTTGACACTACAGTGTATGTTTGGTTGCATATGCACATGGCTGACTTAAACATATCTAATATTAAATAAAATAAAAAAAACTTCTTAAACTTAATTATTATGCTAAATTCTTAAAAATACCCTCATATAATTTTTTTTTAATAATATTATCTAGTATATAATTTATAAATTATGTCTTTAATTACTATTTAAATAAATTTATTAATTAACAGTGTATATCTGTTCTCATTACAATATATATATATATATATAATATATATATATATATTATATATATATATATATATATATATATATATGTACCAAAAGTACATAGAACTACCTTAGTGCACCCCAATGCAGTGAATATGGACTAATTCACCCCTTTCTTAAAAACGCACCCCTTTAGATGGCAACACTTCACGGTTTTTCTTATTTGGGAGTCTATTGACCATATGAAACGATAAATCCCTTTTAATAATAGTTCCTTTCTAAAGTACATAATAAAATAGCCTAATATACATTGTTTCCTACAGTTTTGAGTTGAGCATAAATTTCGTTGTTTTTAGGTGATCGTTATAATTTGTAGTATTTTTTTGTTGTTTGTGTTTTTGATATATAAATAAAATGCAAAGACCATGGGAAAAATCACCTACAGTTTTTCGTCTATGGGAGCAAGTGAACCCAAGTAGTAGTAGGGAAGTCTAACAGTCGACGATCATTTAAGTGATATAAAAAACAATGACACTGGGACTTTAACTGTAGAAAACAGGTTACGACTTCCAAATAAAAGGATTGTTTTGATTAAGCGGTTTTACTACGAAATGAGAAGCAAAAGGAGGACCTATTTTGTTTAGAATTTTGTCTATGAATTTTTTTGAAAGGGGATTTTTGGGACAAAAAAATTTTTGTTATTTACAGCTGTAACGAACTTCCAAATTTTGGTCAGTGGTGTATTTTTGTTAAGCTTATTTAGAAAGTTAATCCAGCTGCAACGTTGTTTGTTTTTAAATAAACGTTTAGTTAGGGCAGCTCGAAATAATTCCGCGAATGTGTCATTCCATTTAGTAGAGGGATTTATTGAAAAAGATGAAGGATTAATTTGGATGACGATAGCTATTGGGTAGTGATCTGATCCCATTGTATCACCTACGGCGGTCCAAGTTAATTTATCAACTAAAAAATGGGAAGTTAATGCTGCTACAAATTTTTCATGTTGATCATCAGGTATATCTCCCCAATTATCATGGGGCGCGTTAAAATCTCCGCAAAAAAGAGTATGAGCCATGAACTGCTGAAATAATTCTATCCAATCGGTAAATTTGATTACCACGTCTGGTGGTCGGTAAATAGATACTATTAAAAAGTTTATATCAGATAAAGTAATTGCGCAAACTTATAACTCTTTGTTTGTTTGACGAATAAATAGTATTAACCTCATTAAACACTAACCCTTCAGCTATAAAAGTCCTACCCCCCCCATAACCATCGACTCCACAGTTTTTAACTAAATTGAACCCTCTCAAAAAAAGTTTTCGTCAGGCTTAAGCCTTAGTTCTGATAAAACAATAATGTCAATTTGTGTACTGTGAACAAAATTAATTACACTTGTTTATTTTCTTTTAATGATCTAGTATTTCACTGCAAAATACATAGTTTTTCTTTTGTAATTGTGTGGTTAGGGATCGGGAAGGTTAATAATATTCGGATTCAGACCCACTAATGTTAAAGTCCATTCCATCAGTGGGATTATCGGAATCAAACATATTAACAAATTCTCTTATATCTGAATCTGCAAAAGTAACTGAGCTAGACGGAAAATTTTTTTGTTAACGAATGTAGATAGTATAAGTACGGACTTTTCTTTATAGTTCATATATTCATCTTTAAAAGGATTAGGAAGAACAGTATTAGCATTTAATGTTAATTGAGAAGTTTTTTATGGTAGAAGTTTCTGTAGTGGGAGATAGAGAAAAAGGTTTTCGTTTTTTGAAACAGACATAATTGCTTTGATAGAATATTTTCCTTATACTGTTGAAGAAGGTTGAGAAGATTGTTGCTTGACATTAGGTAATGGTGAAAAGTTATCAACATTATTTAATATTGAGAACTTGTTATTTGGTAATAATTTTCACATAAGAGGGATATATATATAATATATATATATATATATATATTTATATATATATATATATATAATATATATATATATATATATATATTCAGCTTCTGAACGTAGTTGATATTTAGCTTCTTCTGGTGATAACAATTTTTAATTTCTGGGCGAAACATTTTTTCTCAAACTTTTGTTTGAGAAAACCTAATATTGTCACCCCTTATATGTCGTTTTTCTTTATATTTTTACTACGGTATGTAATATAAGTAAATACATTAACCTATTTATCATTGTTTCAGAATATCCGTTTAGTAGAAGCAGAAGAGAACAATTGCGCATCGTCAAGCGGTCTTCCTCTACGACGATATACTCCCTCACCGCCGTCCACAGCACCCTTACCAGCTAAATTTCATGGCAAAGAGCATACAATGAACAGCATTCGCAGCGCTCCTAATCTTCCTTCGCACCACAAATCGCGGTTCATTCCTGTGAAATCGCTTACTACCAGCAGTGATAGTTTACAAATACGCCAAGGCAGCGCGTTTGAAATAGAATTTGGTTGCAGCTCTAATAAATTAATATCCGAATTTAAGGGAAGGCCTGCACATTTGAAAGAAGAAGCTAAAGATAGAATTTACGAAATCAAAGGAAGGCCTAGGAAGGAGCTACTCATTATTAATAAAAGGTCCAAAGATAGTCTGTTGGAGTTTAAAGGGAGGAGAATTAGACACAAATATTCCAGTACTGAAAGCATGACGACTAGTAGTAGTGGTGGAAGTATGGAGAGTATTAAGAGTAGTACCAGTGAAGGAAATAGAAGTACTAGCAGTTCTGAGAGTAGGCAGTCACCTTCCCTTAGCTCGCACAGTTCAGATTCCGGTGGTAAGTTTACAGTTTTATTAAAAATACAAAGAGCTTCTTATTAGTTTAATAATAGTTTTAATAGTGTATTACATTTAATATTGTATCCTAATGTGTTTTAAATATAGTCAAAAAAAAATTCAACCCAGATGATTCGATATGCAAAATGGCCAAAACATCGAGGCCATAGGTGAAAATGTTATGTACAAATATCTCAGAGTAAACTAAATGAAACAAATTAAACATAAATAAATGAAAACCGATTTAACTTTTAAGTTTATAGAAAAATAAAACAACTACATCATTTACGTCTTCACAGTAAAAAATTATTGAAGACAATAAATCCGTACGCATGTTTCTGGTTATCTTTTGATTTTATACTTGGGATTCCTACTAGCCATTTAGAATCACGTAATTTAAACCAAAAATTATTCTAAATATATCTCAGATCCCCCAAACGACAAATGCCAATGCTCACATTGTGCTCACAGACCAATTAATGGCACATAAGTAACCAGATGTTATACTAGGTAATAAACTATATGGACAAGCAAAATTATTATATATGGTATGATCTGGCAACTTGTATTACCATATTACCAGATGACATGGATATAATTGAGCAATTAGCAAAAGAGATTTCCATTTTAAGAACCTATGTTCAGAAGCAGGCTGAGACATCTACTTTATATCGCGCAATTTTCACAGTAGATGACACAACATCGCTTAAACTGAGGAAACCAGAAGTATGCTGGAGAATGCCAAGAAAGTAGACGACTACTTACCGGGGGCTAACAGGCATTTACTGCAACTGTGTATAAAGAACGAGATGACTCAGTAGAAAAGATCTTTCATAAAAAAATAGCAATCAAACTGGGACTTCTAAAAACAAACTATCTTCCATATTATCAATACGTTTCTAAAAGTATGCTTGAGAATGATAATTACAAGCTATACTGAGATCCCACTTGCAACACAGACTAAACAGTGCCAGTGATTATCATTAGCAATAGCAAAGAAAAATTAATTGTGGATCTAATATGACACAAGTAAAAAACAAACTGACGTAACGAAATATTTTGCTTACCTCAGGGTAAGAACATGGGGGTAGAAGATTGGGCAAGCAAAATATACGCTACTTGTGCTAAAGTCACTCAGGGTTTGTTAGGAGAGCTGGGGTCGTGCATAAGTAAAAGATAAGGGGTGTGGAATGGGGCATTTACAAAAATATGAAACAAAAGGTCATGAATCTCTTGGGATAAACAAAGCAAAAAGAAACAGGAAACACCTTTAGTTATTTAATATAGGGCGCCACTTTGAGGTGCCTAATTATACCTATTACAACCACTAGTTGTAACTAGGGAAATAATTATTAAACATAAAAAACATATATTTTTCAAATAAAACTCAAAAAAGGGGTTGGTTAAAAAAATAAACAAAATGTCAAGAAAACAAAATTTAACATTTATTGTGTCTTACCACAAACAGTTACAAAACATAGAGAATACAAGAATACTCAAAAAAGACAATACAAAAGTATTACCTCAATAGTCGTAAAATACAAAAATACAAAAAAACTTACATGTCATCCATTAACAAACTCTAGGAGTTGGATATACTACAAAAAACAAAAAACGCACAGAGGTTAACCTTTTCTTTAGAATAAACAAAACAAATAAATATCGAAAATAATAAAGCTAGCTGTCATATGTAACACTAAATTTTAAAAACTGAAAACAAATAAAATAGCAGCTAAAGTCAAAATCCAAAATTTACAATATTAAATATTACTATTTTTAAATTTTAACGAAAGCAATTATTTATTTAAAAAATTGTCTGTCTTTACTTAAAAATTTGAACAAACAATAAAAGTTACCTGGATGTCACAATCACTTATTTAGTTGTAAACTGGACTTCTTGATTAGGACGAATACAAATCTAAGGTTGAAAGTTGGGGTACTGGAACACACCTTGACTCGGTTTCTTAAAAAAACTGGAACCATCGTAGCTCCAACCAACCAAATACATTTGCTCACCATCGCCTTATATTTCAAACCTCCCCTTAACTGCAGCTATCAACCGCCACACAACCACTCTTCACCGCTACATATTTCCACAAAAAAAATGGCCAAAAACAGAAAACTACAAATTCGACGGATGAAATTGGATCCATAATTGAGTCTACAACGATCCAAGTAAGAATCCATTTGGATCCATCCCTCAGCCTACAGGCGACCCAAGTAAGAATGACAAAATTGGAGGAGTGAAGAACCCCATCACCGGCACTCACGGCAGGATGGTGGTACTGAACACAGGTCCGAAACCTACGTTTGTGATGAGAGGTACGGGTACGTACGACGAGAACATGGCGATGGCGAAGTAAGAGGCTGAAAAGTTTTGCCATACTACGCCGGTACACAGTACCGCTAACGCGTTTAGTTGTCCCCCGGTGCATCCGAGACTTCGAAGGGCGAAAAAGGTGAAGGAAATGACTGGAAATTATACGGCGAGCAGAATAAGTGGAGAGAGCATGAAGCAGGGTTGATCATCGATAGTGAAAAACCTGGAGAGAGTCATTAAAGAAGTAATAAAAGCAAGTAGGAAGCAGGATAGGTGGCAAGGACACGTGGCAAGGATTTAGCTTTAAAAAAGTATTTACTATACAAAGTTGTTGTTCCGTGCCAAATTGTATTAGAGGGTTACCTCTATTATTCCTATTGCCAAGTCCAAAGTTTCTAAACACATACATAATGAATCTGTACAATTTTCATTACTGGAAGTTATGTTAAGTTTCGACATAATCACGCACTCCAATATGAGGAAAAATTCGATGTTCGATTTCACGTTTCTAATCGTACTTTTCTAACAAACTTCATAAAGAAATCCTAAAGTAGTTGACTAAAATAATTTAAACAATCACTTATTCTACAATAATAATTAACATTATTTTAACTTATTAATTAATAACTTTTTTTCAGGAAATCCAAAAAACTATACCGTCCCCCAAACTTCAAGTGCTTTCCTGGGTAACAAGCTCCACATTTTAAGTCCTATTTCTGATAAATCATCTCAAGAACCAATATCCGAAACATCAGATAACAACAGAAACAACAATTCACAAAAGTGCACACCAGAAGAGGTTCAACCGGCACTAGAAACATTAAAAACCAAACGACGTTTACCTCAGAATAAAAATTTGCTAAATCTTGGTTTCTATGCGACGAATCCAGAAATCCAAGGATCGGACAGTGGCATTTCCATACAATCAAGAGAAGTAAGAGAGTTTTTTTTTTCTATAATGGCAAAACTACTTAAATTTTTACTAATATATTATCAGCTAATATAAACCGCTTTGAAATCTACAGCACTGAGAAATGTCGTTTCTTCCTATTTTTAGGCAATATTAGGATTTTTTTTGAACCTATTCTCTATCCTTCCATTGTTGGATATAGGTCTCCCACCTTGACTCACCCTGTATTATAAATTAAATTAAAAAATAAGTCAGTAGGTACTATTAAATTTTTTTATAGCAGAAGAATCTGAATGTTGATACCTATTTTGACCATTGTTACTTCATTATGATTAAAAATTTTTCGAAACTGAAAGACAATGAATTTGACGAGGAGTTCATATTGTTTATTTATTGATAGCAGTCAAAGCATTGTTAAGAAGTGTTATATTATAATTCGGATTAAATATTGCACTTTTTTTACAAAATATATACATCAGGCGATAGCGGCACAAAAACAACACAATAGCCGCTATTGCCTCACGTATATATTCTGGAAGATATCCTGACAGGAGACACCATGGCAAAAAAGTCTTTGATAGAAAGGTAAGAAGATTAAGAGAAACTGGTAGTTTTAATTGTCCTTGTTTTAAACGACGTTGTAGAGGTATGACCGAAGATAATTCAATCAATGTTCTTGCTATAATTCAACAGAATCGACATATAAGTAGTCGGCAAATCTCTATAGAATTGAACATACCCAAAACTACTGTTCTAAGGGTTTTAAAATGTTACAACATGGCGCTTTTATTCTTTTATCCGTTTCTTAAAAATACTTATGTACGATTTATCTTGTGAAACAATTGTGGGTTTTTCAAGATTTTTAGTAAATATAGTGGTTTCTTTTTCACCAAAATTTGTTGTTCTGTTTTTTAGACTGCATCCTTATTATGTAGTTATCCACTAAGCTTTACATGAGAGAGATTTTAATGCAACGCTGGATTACTGCAATTGGATGTTAGGTCTTCTAGAACAACCGCATATCATGTCAAAGATTTTGTGAACAGACGAGGCTACGTTTATTAGTGCGGGTGGTGTTAATCTGCATAATATGCATTATTGGGCTGAAGAAAATTCGCACTGGATACATGAGGTGCAGGTTCAAGGTAGATGGAGTCTTAATGTTTGGTGTGGTATAATTGATGGAAAAATCGTAGGTATATTTCTTTGATAGAACTTTAAATGGCGAAGTATATTTGGGTTTTCTGAAAAATGAGTTGTATGTTTTATTGGAAGATATTTCCTTAAAACAAGAAGAGATATGATATTACAACATGACGGGTGTCATGTCACAGGACGAGTTCGAGATTATTTGTATGCAAGTTATCCAAATAAATGGATTGGAAGGGAAAGTATATTTTCATGGCCAGCTAGATCTCCAGACTTAACATTTCTGACTTTTATCTGTGTACCAAACTCGACCAACCCCGCGAGACGACATGAAACAGCGCATTATAAACACAATAAATAGTATATCAACAGCTGAGATTGAAGCAGCTGTTATGTCTACGCGCGAAAGATTACATCTTTGTGTAGACAACGATGGAAAACAATTGGAAAATTTAATTAGACATTAAGTTTTATTGATCTAGATATTTGTATGATCTTTCACATATTTAATTTTAAGTTATGATAAAGGGTGAGTCAATACTATACTTACTTATGTTTATGCATTTTTATTTATATCTCTAGTTCAACAAAAGCTATCAACATGTGATTTGCGCCATTTTGTTACGAATTTAATCAAGTTCTATTATAATTTACGATAAATAGGTGATTCCATTAAACATTTTGAAGAAAAACTAATTTTAATTTTTTCTATTCGAAAGTACCCTCTACCCATGACAATTAAAACTAAATGCAATTGCTTTATAATAGATCTAAATTAAATTATCCACACTCTTTATAATGACACTAATTTCGTTAAAATCAGTTGATCCAAACCAAAGTTATAGGTATTTATCCACAAATACGTTCTCACTCTCTCTCACCCTTTATTTGAAAAAATAAAAAAAAAAGTACTTGAACAACTTTGTGCGGAATTTAGGCCTCTGTCTAGTTTACTTATTTAACACTTGATATAATTGGGCATATTTCCCAAAAAACTGGTTTTCAAATTTTCTTCGCAGGTTACGCCCCCTAGCGGTTAACTCAGAAACTTAAAAGTTATTTCCAGCGATTTCTCTTGGCCACTTTACTCAGGATTTTTTTTTCTCCTTAAGTTATAACATGAATAATTTCTAATATAATAAAATCCACAAGGAAAAATTCCTGTAGCTGGCTGTATACCACGTATAACAAAAAGAGGTTAATCTTTGTAAATGGGTATATTTATTTAAAAAACCCTTAAAAGGGCCACATCAATAAAACAAACGTTTTCGGACTACACAGTCCATCATCAGGTTATTAAAATCGAAAATGCCTAAAAATAAGTATAAACCATTTAGTTAAAACAAACGAGATTTTGAAATTTTGACTATGGTTGAAAAGCAAAAGATGGTTATACTTACTAGGTCATAATGCCTAAATTTCTAATATATAACCGAGAGATCGGCTTATTGGACCACCCGGTACCTGAACACCATCTATTTCGAATGGTGTATTCGGATGTAACTTACGACTGTAGTCTAAAAATTTGGTTTTATTTTCGTTTATTTTAATCCCCATTTTAGCCCATATTTCGTGAATATTATTTAGGAGAATCTGAAGGCCTAGTTTTATTCCCTGTGGCTGGCCTTCACCTGCTTGTTTTACTAGCTAATATGTGTAAAAGTTTAATAATGTTGGGATAGAATATAACCCTATCTAAAAATAGACAGCAGACGTGAGCCAGGCAGAAGACCTCAAGAAGAAGAATATGCTCTTATTAGCTCAGATAGACATGTCTATGATTGAATTTAAACAAATCGATAACTTTTTGCCATAAGTCTCGTTTAGTCAATTTTACAGTACGGCAGTTTTTTCAATAAACGTGTTTAGAAATGTCCAATTAAAGTGGAAATTGGCATCCGGGCGTATTATGATAAGTGTTTAAAGTAAAGTAATGATTTTTATCCAAAATAGTTTTAGTTTTTTGTAGTTGGACATACGTTACTTTGGAAGCATCAAAAATAATTTTGCTACAGTTGTTTTATATAAGTCCATCACTTATGATAATTTTGGTAAATTCAGAAATAATTTCACATTGTGATTGTTATCGTAAGCTCAGCACTTACGATAAAATATATGTTTAGACAAAGCCCCTTAAAGTAACATAAATAATATAAAAAAATACCAAAAATCGTTTATTTAATGTAATTTATTTGTGAAAATTAATAAGTACAATAGGCATTTAACTGAACTACACATCGCTTTAGTCATAAACTTACAAATAGTCATAATATCTAAAGTTATTGCAAGTGGTATAATAAATGTGAATCATAGGCAATCATAGCTAGTTAGCAAAAATCTAATCTTGGGGCCCTTCATCGCTTTCCTCTTCCTCATCGGATTCTGCTAGCTTATCTGACGTAACTGACGTTTTCATTAGCGTATATTCATTTTAAAACCTGAGAGGAATTATATTGTTGTTGCAGAGATCAATTAGGTCTTTTTTCTTTACAACGGAAATGGACAATTTTTGAGAATAAATCTGTTTTGGTTTTTTCCTTTTAATTTCATCGTGAAATTGATGCAGTTCTGGCCATTATTTAAATAGTCAACCTCTATAATAATATTTGGGTTACCTTTCTCAAATTTTACATTTTTAATTTCACTGATTTTTATAGGTTTTCCGTTCTTACATTTGAATGTACTCTGTTGTAGTACATCATCAGATTTTTCCATTCTAAGAAGTCGCTTAAATCCATTTTTATTGTTTCAAATGGTTTAGGTTTGGTACGAGAGTTGGAAATCAATGTACACCATTCTGGTGGAGCCCATACTACGCGTTTTTTGATTAATCGCTGAATTGTTGCGTGAACTGAGTCGACAGGCATATAGGTATGGCCTGGTAGTAAGTATCGCACACTGATTGATGTTATATTAACAGAATCCTTAAGAAAAGTCGAGATCATTACAAACATGTCCTTGTTTTTGTTCTGTCCATAACTAGTATCACAATTTAGTGGTATATGTTTTACGGTTTGTCTTCTATCAACTTCTTGCAAATAGTTGTAGATTATGGTAGATATTTCGTTACTGCCACGTCGTCAGTCACATTCTCCCCACAAATAACAAAACCCATTTTGGGTTCCACTTTGGTAAACCGTAAGATTGTAATAAGCATACTTTCTGGTGTTGTACAAAAGCAAATTGTCTCCATGTGGTATGTTTAGCACCTTCTGCAGGTCGAAACTAGCACATAAAAATTTTGAATCTAAGATAGTTTTCTTTTAATCACCTAGAAATGAATCTTTGCATTTTTCTTTGTTTTCCAAATGTTTTTCACACAATTGCTTTGTTTTTACTGTTTCCTTAAAATCGTTGTCTTTTCTCACTTCACAGACTTTGCACTTATCTTTTTTCAGCAAATGTTTCTTAAAAAGTTCGTATACGAATGATACATTACGAAATTCAGTGGATAAGTATCTTCTCGATGTTTTATTTCTGCCATAATGAGGTGGGACAGCGGGAGCAGCGTGATGAAATCTAACACATTCTGCTTGAACATGTTTACCTCTCTGAACATGTTTACCTCTCTGATCTATTTTGGAAAATGAGGCTGACGTACAGTTTTCTTTTCTTTCGTATATCTCAAAGTCATTTGTAAAATATCGAAGGTTTTCAACAAAAACACACCAGTTGTTGGCAAACCTCGTATTCCACATCATTCCACCTAATGATATACTTGTACGAACATTGTCTTCTGCTTTTTCCAGCCTCTTGTTTTCGACGTTTTATTTCAACATCTTTTATTCATGAAACAGCTAGTCTCGTTTGTAGCTTAAAACAAGTTTTTTCCATTGCATCTTCTTTATTGTCAAGCGAAATGCTGTCACCATTGCTAATATTTTCTTCAAATGAATATTCTTGGCATCCGGGCGTATTATGATAAGTGCTTAAAGTAAACTAATGATTTTTATTCAAAATAGTTTCAGTTTTTTGTAGTTGGACATACGTTACTTTGGAAGCATCAAAAATAATTTTGCTACGGTTGTTTTATATAAGTCCAACACTTACGATAATTTTGGTAAATTCAGAAATAATTTCACATTGTGATTGTTATCGTAAGCTCAGCACTTACGATAAAATGTATGTTTAGACAGAGCTCCTCAAAGTAACATAAATAATAAAAAAAACTAGCAAAAATCGTTTATTTAAGGTAATTTATTTGTGAAAATTAATAAGTACAATAGGCATTTAACTGAACTACACATCGCTTTAGTCATAAACTTACAAATAGTCATAATATCTAAAGTTATTGCAAGTGGTATAATAAATGTGAATCATAGGCAATCATAGCTGGTCAGCAAAAATCTACTCTTGGGGCCCTTCATCGCTTTCCTCTTCCTCATCGGATTCTGCTAGCGTATCTGACCTAGCTGACGTTTTCATTAGCCTATATTCATTTTGAAACCTGAGAGGAATTATATTGTTGTCGCAGAGATTAATTAGGTCTTTTTTCTTTACAACGGAAATGGACAATTTTTGAGAATAAATCCGTTTTGGTTTTTTCCTTTTAATTTCATCGTGAAATTGATGCAGTTCTGGCCATTATTTAAATAGTCAACCTCTATGATAATATTTGGGTTACCTTTTTAAAATTTTACATTTTTAATTTCACTGATTTTTATAGGTTTTCCGTTCTTACATTTGAATTTACTCGGTTTTAGTACATCATCAGATATTTTCCATTCTAAGAAGTCGCTGAAATCCATTTTTATTGTTTCAAATGGTTTAGGTTTGGTACGAGAGTTGGAAATCAATGTACACCATTCTGGTGGAGCCCATCCTACGCGTTTTTTGATTAACTGCTCAATTGTTGCGTGAACTGAGTCGACAGGCATATAGGTACGGCCTGGTAGTAAGGATCGCACACTGATTGATGTTATATTAACAGAATCCTTAAGAAAAGTCGAGATCATTACAGACATGTCCTTGTTTTTGTTCTGTCTATAACAAGTATCACAATTTAGTGGTATATGTTTTACGGTTTGTCTTCTATCAACTTCTTGCAAATAGTTGTAGATTATGGTAGATATTTCGTTACTGCCACGTCCTCAGTCATATTTTCCCCACGAATAACAAAACCCATTTTGGGTTCCACTTTCGTAAACCGTAAGATTGTAATAAGCATACTTTCTGGTGTAGTACAAAAGCAAATTGTCTCCATGTGGTATGTTTAGCACCTTCTGCAGGTCGAAACTAGCACATAAAATTTTTGAATCTAAGATAGTTTTCTTTTAATCACCTAGAAATGAATCTTTGCATTTTTCTTTGTTTTTCAAATGTTTTTCATACAATTGCTTTGTTTTTACCGTTTCCTTAAAATCTATGTCTTTTCTCACTTCACAGACTTTGCACTTATCTTTTTTTAGCAAATGAAATCCGATATTAAGTTCTGCCTTACAAATCTTTCGAAACACTCGTAGGGAAACGATATCGTTCTTATTTATGGCATTTTCTAACTGTTTCTTCTTAAAAAGTTCGTATACAAATGATACATTACGAAATTTAGTGGGTAAGTATCTTCTCGATGTTTTATTTCTGCAATAATGAGATATGACAGCGGGTAGCAACATGATGAAATCTAACACATTCTGCTTCTGCTCTTTCCTTGTCTTGTTATAGGGAACATGTTTACCTCTCTGATCTATTTTGGAAAATGAGGCTGACGTACAGTTTTCTTTTCTTTCGTATATCTCAAAGTCATTTGTGAAATATCCAAGGTTTTCAATAAAAACACACCAGTTGTTGGCAAACCCCGTGTTCCACATCATTCCACCTAATGATATACTTGTACGAACATTGTCTTCTGCTTCTTCCAGCCTCTTGTTTTCGACGTTTTATTTTAACATCTTTTTTATTCATGAAACAGCTAGTCTCGTTTGTAGCTTAAAACAAGTTTTTTCCATTGCATCTTCTTTATTGTCAAGCGAAATGCTGTCACCATTGCTAATATTTTCTTCAAATGAATATTCTGAAGATTGGCGACGAAAACGTTTAGCTGTATTACAGGTACGACAATTTTGATCATTTTCTCTACTGGAAGAGTCATAGTCAACGAGTTTCACAGAGGGTCGTGTCGAAACTACTGGCTGGTTCTGGTGAAGGTCATCATCAAGTGAAGAACTTGGCACATTACATTTGGATTTTATTTCTGTTCTGTTGGCAGGGATATGGTAAATTATAGGTTCATCTAAACTAATTACGACCGCGTCTGAAGATTGTAAATCTTTCAAGTTTGAGATTTGACCAACTTGTGAAGAAACACTGGTGCTACGGCATGTGGTTGAGTCTATAATGGTGTCTATGGTCTTCTGTGATACCAGTGCAATCTCTTCGAATTCGCTTGATATATACAAAGATTCTAAGTCTGTTACATTATACGAAACTGAAGATATTTCAAATAATTCGCTGTCAAAGTTATAGTCACCCACATATAGTGAGAGTGACTCCAACTCATGTGAAGACTCGGACCGAGTGGTTACCAACGACGGTATGGCATTTGATCTTGATCTACCACTGGCCTCCATTCTTCTTGTCTTTTATTATATGTTCGCCAGGTGTGATTAACCGAGTGGCCGTCCGATAGCTCGATCGGTACGGGATTTATCTTGTATTACTCAATCTTGACCATGCAATGTTTTCACAACTATAAAATAGATTTGTTCACATTTTTATGTGATTTACGTTACTGCAAATTAGGTTTTTCTCGAAAACTATGCTATTATACCTTACGATAATTTTGCTGGGAGGTTCCTGCCGGCTTGATAGATACGACACTTCAATAAAACTGTTTTTCCTAAATTTGTCACTTACGATGCTATGGCAAAAAGGTATCGAAATTTAAACAATTTCTGTACAATAGATATCATTATTGTTATCCCGACATTGTTATTGTGGGAAATTTGCTTTACAGAATAAACAAAATAGTTTATACAACGAGATTGGTTAATAAATGTGACTTGTCGGATTCTGAATTTAGACAACTGAAATGTTTGAGCATATTTTTAGCAATTAAAAATTTTTTACGTTGTATAATAATCAAACTTGACTTTTTTCAAATTTGTTATTTGACATTTTTTGATATTTATATTTAGCTAATGACTGTTGCTACTGTTAATTATTTTTTTATAAGTTATTACCTTAATTTAATTTACAAATATACATTTACTCTAAGATCCACATAAATTGTCATTAAAAAATATTTTAAACTACTATCAGGGTATCAAGTCAAGATTTAGCTTCACCGGTGCCGAATTATCAGCACCTCCTAGCCAGCAGGACTTCTCAGATTTGCCGTTCGACATGCCGAAATTGCGGAGGAGACGAGCGGTCCCTGAGGCCACTTGCACTTCAGGTAGCGCTACATCCGTGGATTTAAGGGATTTACCCTTCGATATGCCTAAATTGAGAAGGAGAATGCGGCTCCAACCCTCAAACTTGGAAGCTAGTGCTTCCCAAGCGTCTTCAAGTCAAAGCGTCGTAGAAGCAGATAGACAAGGTTTGTTTTCCTTCTGAATTTCGTAATACAATAATTTATAAAATGTAGGTATTTATATTTACAGTTTTGGAAACAAATATCAGCTATATTTCGTACATTTTTTGTAAAATAGTATTAAATTATAAGAATATGTCGATAATATTGGTCAAAATATCCTTTTATACTGATTATACTTAATTTATCTTTTATTTAGAGTTAACAATAGGAACATCGTAATTTTGCAGTAAGATTATTTTTATTCATAAAAATATAGATCCTAAATGATTATAATTTGCAAATCTTATATTTATCGTTCATGATATGAACTATAGATTGTTGTTTGAATAATTTGTTCTTTAGTTTCTGAAACGGTATATCGATGAGTGTCTTGTAACAATTCTAGTGACACTATATATTTTTAGTATAATTTTGAAATTTAAGCCACAAGCACGTATATTGCTCTCTGTGTCTTATCCAAAGTAATTGTCATATAATGCCTGTCGGATACTCTGGGAAATGGGGCATCCGAGAGGCCTGTCTGCGGTGATGCCGCTTCTTCTTGTGTACCTTTCTTTCTCGAATCCTCTAGAATTGCCTCCTCTCTAAATCTCTGCTCGTCCAGCAAGCCAGTGACCGTGGTTTTTGACCTTGATCACTGGCTCTCCGCACTAGGATACACAGCACCAATGCTCAACAATCGCGGTTGCTTCATGTGTGATACCTTGCTGAGAGAAAAAAATTGCTGTTTTTTTTTGGATAACCTTAAACTTGAAAAAAAATTGATTAAATGTTGTAAAGTAATAGTATTTAACCTAGGGGGTGGGGCATACATTTCCAAGTCTATAATGGCCACACATGCCCCGTGTATGTGTTTTTGTATTTACTCGTTTTTTTTTTAAATTATCTATCCCATTTTATTAAATAACCTATTCCAACGATTTCACTTGCTAGGTTTATTACACAGTTAACTTATAGAGTTCCGTTTCCTACCATGTTACTACTTTTTCATATTTCACTCTTTACTCTTCGAGTTGTTACCCTACTAGTTGGTTCTGAGTCGTCAGTACCTGGTCGGTCTGTTTTTGTCGTAGTTCGTCAAGTTCTGTAGACTTTCATTTGGATAATTTCTTAGTTCGTTGAAGATTCCGTACGCTTTTTTATATATTTTACCCAGGATCCTTACCTCCTTGGTTTCTATGTACATAAACCATTCGGATACATATGTAGGAATGTTCAGATCCTCTCTTATGATGTGGCTATGTGCTACTTCAACCTTCTTTTCGTTGGTTTTACAGATTTTTTCCAAATCTACTGTATATGTTATGGTATATGTTATGGCGGGTTGGATGTTGCAAACTGAAAAAAAAAAACACAGTATGATTGAGACACCTAGTATTCAATAATAATTTACCTGTTTAATAATAATAAACTGACCGGCAAAAAAGGGCCACTCTATAAATTTCCAATAATAAAAATTCATTGGAAGATTAGTGTACTGTTTTACATTGTATACTCAACATCTTTTATTTTTAAAACAAAAAATGGACATTACCTCTTGATTCCTTAGCTTAATTTATTTAATTAAAAGGCTACAAAAAAAAAGTGTTATATCGAAACGAATTACAGAGAATAAAAATTACGAATTAAATCGAACATAACATTATAAAATCTTAAGGAATACGTTTATATTCTTTACGCAGCATGTTTTGAAGTTCTGCAAGACTTTCTGGCTAGTCTGTTTGACTTATAATCCTACAATAAAGTTCATCTTAAAGATGTTTTATTATAATCAGATCAGGGCTGTAGGTTAGTCATTCTATTGCTTCTGCCAAAACGTCCTCTATATACCAGTGAGCATTAAGAGGGCCACTGATAAAAAAAAATCAGTTCTAGATTCAAATGAGATTTCAGCCCAAACCATGACAGAACCACCGACAAACTGTCTCATCTGGAACATACAAGCTTGGATATATATATTTTATTTTTCTGTCCCCAAATCCTCTTTCGTCCATCTCCAGACTTCAAACAAAAGCGCGATTCATCAGTAAGGAGAAGTCGGCTCCAATCCTGTACATTCAAGTGCTGATGTTGTCGAGCAAAAATTAATTGATTCCTACAGTTTCTGAGTTGTAATTCGGGAACAATAGCTGGCCTTCTTGCCATTAGTCCTCTTTCATTGAGGTGTCTTCTAACCGTTCTCTTACTTACATTTACATTTCGAGCCTCCTACAGGTGATTTTTTGTAGTAATTGCAGTGAAATGGCAATTTCTGAAAAGATCCACCACAATAAAACGATCATCTCGGAATACTTAAAGTTTCGGATACATAAATTTGACTTACTCCGTCCTGTAACGATGCAATAATTTGAGTAACGTCTACCGTGGATAACACCATATCTTAATTTTTCACTTTTGAATCACCTCGAAATCGACGTTTGAAAAGCTAAATTACTATTTAATTAAATATTTTCAACTTAAAAGAAAACTAGCGACTACAGCAAATAAGAACATAAACGTCACAACTGCCAAAAAAAGTAGACATGGTCACAATAAATATTTAAATTAAGACGCAATCTGAAACAGTGCATAAAACTTCCAATGAACAGTTTCGAACGAACCTTCGTATAGTGCGGACCGGTGTACAAGGTTGTTTCGTATTCAATCGAATTTATTTAGGTTTTAATTAGGTTTACGGTAATTTTAAGTTATTAGTTTAGCATTTGTACTGTAAGTATTAATATTTCCTATATTTTTTTGATCAATACTTAACCCTGGGATGTCCCAGGGTAAAAATGGTGTGGGTGGCAAAGACCCACCTCTACAGGATCAAGTTGATAACGACGTCATGTTAAGTAATATTCATGTCGAAGATATTGTTTTTTCTGAGATTAATAATTGTAATAATACTCCAAATGTTTTGAATTCCGATGATTCTATTATTAATAATTCCAATATTAAATCTATTGTTAATGATGGCAATAAAAACTTGCCGTCTACAACTCAACAATATAAACAATCAAGTCAGGTTTTAAATACTACAAATCGATTTAGCAATACTGATACGGGGCCGTATTTTATCTTTGTTCAACATAATGATTTAAACTTAGGTCGTCTTCATCCTATGAAAATAGGAGAAAAATTAAGTTCTCTTGCGGATTACGACAAAAATATAACAGAAATTGTTAGTGTTGGCAGGAATAGAATTAAAATCGAAGTAGATTCGGGACTGGTTGCAAATAGGCTAGTAGAAGAATCTTTTTTTGAAAAAAATAATTTAATTGCATTTATACCTAATTATTTGACAGAAAAAAGAGGTTTAGTTCGCGCTGTTGACACTACTATAAGTGAAAATAAACTCTTAAATATTATAAAATCGAATGTAATGGTTAAAAAAGTTCAAAGAATGACTAGATTAATACAAAAAGACGGTATATCGGAGAGAGTTCCAAGACAGATGATTATTGTTACTTTTGCGGGCAAATTAATTCCTCAATTCATCTACATTAATAAAGTTAGATGCCCGGTCGAGGTATTTGTCAGTCCGGTCATGCAATGTTACCAGTGTTTGCGTTATGGTCATTCGGCTACTCAATGTAAATCAAAAAAAAGGTGCAAAAAATGTGGGAATGAAGACAATAAAGATTGTCCTGAAAACTGTAATACTTTTTGCGTGCATTGTCAAAATAGTGGTCACGAATCAATTTTCAGGGAATGTCCTGAATATCTTAAGCAGAGGAAAACGAAAGAAACTATGGCTAACTTGAACATTTCGTTTAAGGAAGCTCAGAAAATTTCTGATAATCCAGGTTATTCGAGCCTAGTTCAGAAGAATAGATTTGCACCGTTAATCAACTCTGACACGGAATTTCCCCCACTAAAATTTGATTCTACTCGTCAGTTCAATTCTGGTACAGTTCATAAGAATAATAATATTCCCAAACGTCATTCAACCCCGGTAGTTAGCCCTCCCAAAAAAAGAAAAAATAGCGACACCACTATTAATTTCCCTCCTCTTCGTAGAGAGTTCCCGACTAGTTTCTGTGCTGGTCCCGTATTCCAATTCGGACAACCTGAACCTGTAGATGAATTTAGTAAATTTATCACTTAGCTTAGTGTTACCCTTAAAAATTTTATTAAACAAAGCTTTCAAGATTTTGTTAATGCTTCTCCAAATATGGCTCCTAATCTTAAAGTCGATGACATTGAATTTGAGAATAAAGTTAAAGAAGTTGTTAATAACTTTTTTACTTAAAATTCATGGCTATCAAAGGTATCAAAATTATTCAGTGGAATATTCGATCACTTAACGCTAACAAATATTCTTTACATCAGTTACTTCTTGAAGAACATTTTGATATAGCAATTTTATCGGAAACTTGGTCCAAACCCTCAGATAATGTTTGTTTTAGTAATTTTAATATAGTAAGTAAAAGTAGAGCTAACGGATACGGTGGAGTAGCTATACTTATATCAAATAACATAAATTACGAACCTATTTCATTTGTTAATAATTTCAATCAAAACTTGGAAGTTTGTGGCGTAAACGTTAGTATTGACAAAAAAAAGTATACGATTTTAAGTTTATACCGACCAGTAAAAACAAAAGTATCAGTGCAAGATTATGTCAACCTTTTTTCTCAAATTAACAATGACTGTATTATTTCTGGGGATTTTAATGCGCACCATGGATTATGGGGATCAAATGCCTGTTCTTCAGAGGGTAATATATTAGTGGAAGCCTTGGATTCTTTTCCTCATTTAATTATCGTAAACGATGGATCGGCTACTAGGGCTACTCCTCCAGGTCATGCCAAATCTGTTGTAGATCTCACCATTTTATCTTCCAATTTATGCTCAACTTTTGACTGGACTGTTATACAAGATACATATGGATCCGATTACTTTCCTATTCGAATGTCTATCAATGATATTAAAATAGAAAATATGAGGTTTATATCTACAGTTAGGTGGTCGATGACTGATGCTAACTGGGAGCAATTCAGGCTTACCATGGAGGAAGC